CAGGTGATCATGTATTGTGTTATATTATATTTCTGGAAAATTTAAGAGGTAGTTATATAATAATTTTGGATGATCTCAGGCGGTCAGATACTTATGACCGCTACTGTAAGGATTTTAATACAGAGAAGCTTATCGATTATTTGAGAAGAAAAATCCTGAAGCTTAAAGAGTCTCACTTTAAAATTTTGTGAAAGAAAGAAATCACTGGTTGCTCTTTTCTCAAATTAACTGAAGAAAAACTTGAACGTTATGATATGAAAGGAGGACCTGCAACAGTTCTTATAGAATTCATTGAAAGTCTTAGTCAGAAATTATGAAACTACTCCTTACTTAAACTCTTGATGACTTGAAAGAAATATTACGTAGAAATAAGGTCAATAGAGAAGATATAACAAATATCAAACAGTTTACTCCTAGTGAGTGATTAATAAATTTTTCAGAACTGACTAGTTATGCTAACCTTATTTTTTCTCTGTAGTCTTCGAGGAAATTAATGATGATGATAAGGCTTTTAGTCATTACATGGATAATATAATTCTAAAATTATCCAATATGAAAAGCATGATTGATGCTAATGAGACAACGTGCTGTGAATTTATTTTAGCAATATTATATGCATTCATCGTTATAGCTAAAAACCTTATCTCCTAAGATATATTCATAGTTTTGCAAAAAGATATTTCTGGTGAAGATGCGACAGGTCGAGTAGATTACATAATCAAAGTTTGAAAGAATTCTTCTGTATTACTGAAGAGAAATTACGTAATATTAAAATTGGATATGCTTAAGTAAGTCTGCTTATCCTTCTAGTAGTATATTGTTTTTAATGAGAACAATTATAGCTGAAGGCGCTCAGACAAAGAATGATGTATTTATCTCTTAGAATCAGATGCAACTTGAAAGTGCGTTCTAAATAAATAAGAAAAAACGAACTGCAGATTAAGCATTTAATGAAGATTACTTTGATTATCTTTATGGTATTGTGATTACAGAGGTGGGTGGCATTTTATTATATATACTTTGAATGGTATTTACTGTATAAGTGATAATAAATATCAGATTAATCTTACAAAATCCACCATCAAAGAAAATCCCAAATTATTTTGAAACAATGTGAAAAGAGTAATAAGTATAATTGTTAAGCTACTAAAAGATAGGGTTAGTGTTGGTAGTTTTCCAACTAGCAAGAGGGTCAGAATCGAAAAAATTATCAAAAAATAATAGTATAGAAACTTCATGTATCACAGGCAATATCCCAATCTTTGTATTTATTTTTGCATGTATTAATAAAAAATTTTCTTGGCAAAAGTGATCTACGTTTCAAATTAGAACTTCTGAGAAAATTATAATACCATATATCACTTGATTTTTGATCATGCTACAAAATTAATCACATGTCAAAGAGCAAGTTTCTTTAGATGTGAGGCTGAGTATAATATTATGAAAAAACAAAATATAAAGGTAAGAAGTATTTATTTTTTATTTCTGCTGATTTTTTGAAATAGATCTAAAATATAATATCTCAGAATATTTGAGTAGGAATTAGCTAATCTCTTACAACAGATATAGGAAATGGAATATTATAAAATCATATTAGTTAAGTTTCAGTGCATGAATATTATACTGCACTGCAAATTTTTTAATATATTTATAATACAGTATATGAAATATTGCTTGAAAAGGATTTATACAATCAAATTCAAATTAATATTTATATTATGACAACAGAATAAATGCAATATTTTAATATAAGAAAATAGAAATATAAACTCATTCAGAATCCCTACCACGGCCCCTACTGTGACCTCTCCCCTAACATTCACTTTCTTTCCTTTTCCTCTCAATATTTTAGCAGAAATTTTACAAATGTCACAGCTTTTCATCATTTCAATGTGAATCTAGTTGTATACTTAGGTTTAGACATTGTTATGTTTTCTTATCCTTTCTTTCTAAACTCTATAAATCTTTTAATCTTTTCAATAAGATTGTATCATAAGCATAAAAGAATTCTAATTAGTCTAAATATATGATTTAGATCAGTATCAGAAGTTGGGATAGTAAGAATTAGGATTGTGAATGAAGCAAAAAGATATAAATCAGGACCAATAAACATTAACTGGTCAATCTCAATTTTTATCAGCTACAAACAAAAAACAAGAATATATTAGATCAAAACCACATGTAGGTTCAAAATTATTAAAAAAAAAATTACCAAATGCTTGGGCTAAGAAAATCTCCAGTGTTTTGCATACTTTCTATTTTAGTAACTCAGTATTTAACATAAATTTATTAAGGCCGAAAACACTCTCACTCAGTAAGTTTCGTCTATCTTCATTAATCTTATCTGGATCTGGGTTATTAGGCCCTTCTGATACTTCAAGCAAAAACAATAAAATTTGCTTGAATCGCTCGAAAAGCTCTAATACTCTATTGGCTTTATAGCTATTATCTTGGATATCGATTTTTGTAGATATGTCTCTTTCACATGAAAAATACTATAATGAGTCAATAAAACAAAAAGTGATAAAAAAAATGTATGCTAATACATGGGCCGTTCATGTCCACTCAGGAGTCTTATTTATGGTACCATTCATTTTTGTTATGATGTCAAAATGGTTGAAAATATTCTTGACAATAAATAAATCAGTCATTTTGGGTTGATCATAGTCTGATAGCATAGGAAAGAAGTTGGATAAATAGTGATATTTTTTGGGTACACTGCCTAATTGATATAATATATTCTCCACTTCACTATTTTTTTCTATAGTCTCATTATTACCTTGTCTACAAGATAACTATAAACTGCTTCGTCTCCCTTCGATTGAACAGGTACAATATCATCAAAAAATGCTAAATACTCTTGTATAGAGTTCTGAATGAGTCAAGTTGAGTTGAGTTTAAAGATCAATTCTATTCGATTCTCTTTTTTCAAGTTGAGTTAAGTCAAATTTATTTTATAAAATCTTTCAATTTGATTTGATTCAAGTTATATAAATTTTAAACTCAACTCAATTTGACTTAACTCAATTTTAATTTGATTCGATTTTGAAAAAAAAAAATAATAATAAAAAATGAAAAGATCAAAGGGAAGGAAGAGAGGGGGAAGGGGAAGAAAGCGAACGATTTATCATCATTCTTCTTGAATAATTTTTTTATTGTTAAAGTTGAACGATTCCTTATCATTCTTTTTAAACAATTTATTTATCGTTCAAGTCGAATGATTCCTTATCGTTCTCCTTGAACAATTTTTTATTGTTAAAGTTGAACAATTCCTTATCATTCTTCTTAAACAATTTATTTATCATTCAAGTCGAATGATTCCTTATCATTCTTCTTGAACGATTTTTTTATCGTTCAAATTGAACAATTCCTTATCGTTTTTCTTGAACGATTTTTTTATCATTCAAATTGAACGATTCCTTATCGTTCTTCTTGAATGATTCCTTATCATTCTTCTTGAACGATTTTTTTATCATTTAAATTGAACGATTTTTTATCATTCAAATTAAACGATTTTTTATTGTTCAAATTAAACAATTTCTTATCGTTCTTCTTGAACGATTTTTTTATCATTCAAGTTGAACAATTTCTAATCGTTCTTCTTAAAATGATTTTTTTATCATTTAAGTTGAACAATTTCTTATTATTCTTCTTGAACAATTTTTTTATTGTTCAAGTTGAACAATTTCTTATTGTTCTTCTTGAACGATTTTTTTATCATTCAAGTCAAATAATTTCTAATCGTTCTTTTTAGAACGATTTTTTTATCATTCAAGTCAACTCGAGTCAACTCAAATCAAGTCAAGTTTAAATCGAGTCGAGTTAAACATTTAACTCAATTTGAATTTAGCTTGACTTGCAAATTATCGAGTCAAAAAAATATAAACTCGATTTGATTTAAACTCGACTCAGCTTATCTGACTCGTGAGTTAACTCGACTCATATAGAACTCTACTCTTGCGTCTTTTTACTTATGAATTTTTCTTCATCCTCCAATATTACCTTTTATATAACGAATCCAATTCACCCTCATCTAAAAGACTACATACCTATTTCCATGTGTTTTCATCTCCTAAATCGAGTACGTAAAAATTTGACTCAGAATCTTAAGTTTTCCAGATAGTTTTAAATTTGTTATAGTATGACGGAAAAGTTACTTTCTGAAAACATCTGAAGCATTGATCATGGAATTCATCAAATATTTATTTACAATATCAAGTTTTCCTTTTTGTATATCATGTGTACGTTTTTTTGATAAAAAAAGACGTAATAGGTTTTTGAACTATTTTCCTTAGTTCTGATACAACATTTTCACGTATTCCCTCAAAAACTTCCAACACATCACCTTCTACTCTTCCAGCAAACCCTTCTTTCTGAAGATATCTTCAAGCTTTTTCAACATTTTCGAGAAAAGTATTTTTTTAATTAGGGCCTTTTAAAAACTTGTTTAACTCTTGGCAGTAATTACAAACTCTGACTGGCGTAATTACTTATTCTAATATTAATTTAAGACTTGTGATATAAGCCATAAATGTATCATTCAGTTTATTAAGAAGATCCAATATGGAATACAAAAATTCAGATATTTCATCATACCATTTTACTAGAAGATCAATAAAATAAGTTGCGATTTCTTTAAGAAGATTTTTGTTGAAAAGAAGGCACCAATTTACCAACTCTGAAGGATATAAAGGTTGTGATATTCTTCTTTGATTAATTGGTCTGAAGGATTATTTATGTTCTAACCCACTTTATTATCCTTACAATGTTAAATACTAAAATATAGTAGTGATATGATAAAATCTTATGTGATCTTTACTAATTGATAATTTTATTATCATGTGATTTTTGCTTGAAACGCATCTCATTAAATATCACGTAGCATAGATTTTTATAATATTAACTTATTTTATTGCTTCTAGTGCTCAGCTAAAATCAGGAGCAGAATGACCTGCTCTTAACACTAGCCTAGCCCTCACAAATGTAGCGGAATGACCTGCTTCATAAATACTTGTAAATAAGGTTGATGGCAGAATTATCTGCTAAGTTTGTGAATGATTTTATTTTGAGTTACCATCTGCGTTATAGAAGTTGTCAAATCAGGAATAGAATGATCTATTTTAACATAGACCTAGTCTTCACAAGCGTAGCAGAATGACCTGCTACACAAATACTTGTAAATGAGGTTAATGGTGGAATTACTTGTCGAATCTATGCATGATTTACTCTTCTTTTTAGGCTGAACACAAAACTAACAAGCTGTGCTCTAATCTGTATGACTAATGTGACTTAGATAATATTTTTTTATACTTTATTTTCAATGATATAGCAGTTATTTTAAGTGAGAAACATCTTAGATCCTAACCCATAAAATGATAATTTCTTTCCGCTATATCCAATTATATTTTTTTTGAGAACGCCTATCCACGTTATACCGCAATATGAAATACAAATATTTCTGACGAGACATCAATTTTAAAAGATATAAACATTTTTTTTGGTTGTGTTGATTGATTGTGCACTTGCAGTTCTGAACTTACAAGCTAATAGATAATTTTTCATTTAGGATTTCAAGAAAACATATTAATATTATGGAAGGCAAAAAACATAAATCATCGGCGGGTTTATTAAGGTCAATATTGTTAATTTATTTCTGACTCTGCATAACTGATGACTATTTTATTCTATTCAGAATATTGATATTGAGACAAATAAAATCAGATCAGAGTTAATGTTATGATAAGATGAACGAAATACTGGTGTGGATCTGTAGAGATTAGTATAGAAACATTTCATTTTGTAAAATGAAATTACAATATATACCTCCTGAATTTGTATTTATTTTTTGTGTGTTTTAATAAAACATTTTTTCTCTGCAAAAGTAATCTGCGTTTCAAATTAGAACAGACACAATGACTTTTTTATTTTGAATATTTGTATAAAAAGTGTTATCAAAAATGGAATCTGAGATTGACTTACTTAGGAAAGAAAATGCTAGACTTGTGGCTAAGAATTATAAGCTTAAGGCTGAGATTGTAAAACTAAGGCAGATTATTGAGGAGAATACCAAGCATGATGTTAGAGTTGAGAAACTAAAGTAAAAAAATAGAAAACTTGAGGCTAAACTCACAATATTGAAACAGAGTTCTTTAGTGGTAGGTGTATAATCACAGAATGATAAAAAAGTGATTGTAGAGGTACTGCTAGAGGTAACAGTATCAAATATTAATTTATCTAATACCGTAATAGACTAGCGAAATAATGTTGATACTAAAATATCAGAGAAAATAGAGATGGATGCTTTCTTAGTTAAGGTAAATAAGAAAAGCATTGGCGACAAAATTAGAGAGAGGAGGCAGAAAAAAAGGTTCAGCATAAGACGATTACTAAAGACTCATTCTCAGTTACTTCAGACTTGACTCACTGTGAAGAGAATCTCTCCATAACTAGCATTGAACCTATAACTCTCCCAGAACAGGTAGTCAAAGAATCGATTTCAGTTATCTCTAGTAACAAATCATCTGCTAAGATATCACCAATAAAATCATCTATAGTGAAGACTTCTGAGAACATAGATACAGAGTGTCAAAAAATTCCTTATAATCAAAAAGTGAAGCAAGATTTGAGATAGGAACTATCCTTCACTGAAGTTAGTGATAGTAAGATTAATAAGACGTTTGATATTCAGATTCCTAAATTCTCTTTAAAAGCAATTCTGATGGGATCTAGTGAAATTACAGCACAGAATATAGTTAAACTATTTAGAGTAGCAATGAAGCTTAAATGTAAGAAGATTTTATACTGGTATTGTTATTATAAAGCATATGAGGATTAAGTTGGGGATGTTAAGTCTAAGAATAGTGTTGATGACAAATTAGCAAGAATATTAGTGTACAGCGAAATCAAACCCCTTCTTCCTGACATTACTAATGTAAACTTGAGTAAAATAACTTTTAGAACTAAAAAAATCTATATATTGTTTGATGGAATAGGAATAAATAGAATCCAAATAATTAGCTGTAATGCAAGTACCATCTCAAATTTATCTGATAAGCAGATCTAAAACATTATAAATAAAAAAACTCTTTCTTCTTTCACCCCAAATTTCTAAAATTTTAGAAATTTACTGAGAAAATAAAAAATTTTTCGCTTAAAACTTTATTTAAAACTTTACAACTCTGTTAGCTAGTTCTTTAGTTCACTTTTACAAAATGTTTAATATATTTGAAAGAGTTTATTTTATTCGATAATTTTACAATATGGTTAGAAAATCAGCAAAATCTTCTATTAACAAAACTAATAAAGGTCATTACGACTCGCTTAAAGCCAAACAACCCGAGGCTAGTAGTTCCTCACGTCTAGGAGAAAAGCCTATCTCTTCCTTGGTCAATGACAAGGATATTGTCAATGATACTTACGCTAAACAGTCCACCCCACCACTGAACGTTCTTAACACCCAAGAGTTTGTTCCTATTGAAGATGATACGAACATGGAAACTGAAAATACAGATTTCATTGTCATCCCTCGCCCCTCTCCTTTCGCTTGCGCTGCCTCTATCAGCAAAAATACTAAGGAACTCCCTACCCCCAAATCATCCGTGTGATCAACAATATGTTTGCGCATAACGATGCATTCAGAGGGCTGAATGTACGCTGTGTAAATTTTGTACGTTTTGCAGTCATTTACTTTGACAATGCAGAATCCATGCACGCCGCGCTCACCACCCAACTTCCTGATTTGGGTATTGATAAATTTGTGGATTACACTGA